GGGCACATCCCCAGTGGGGGGTGTGCAGGAGGCAGCTGATCGATGTTTCTCTCTCATCGATGTTTCTAACTCTCTATCCTTCTCCCTTCCTCTCTGTAAAAAATCAATAAAATATATTTTTAAAAAGAAAAATCTCTTATATCGGCTTTCGGGCGGGGCCCACAGGAGGGGAGGCCTGGCCCTGCCGTGACCTTGGCGGGTGTCTGAGGTCACAGCACCCAGTTTCTCTCCGGGGTCCATCCCTTTGGCGCCTCCAGGAACCCCAGGTGGGCCGAGCGCCTCCTGCTCTGAGGAGAGTCCCTGTAAAGTTCCCCGGGGGGGGCGGGGGGTGGGGGGTCAGGGCAGGCAGGAGTGTCACTGCCTGGGTCCCAGGGGCCCTGAGCTGGTGGGCGGGACCCGCTGAGGGTGCTGGTGGGCCCCGTCCCCCAGGCTCTTCCCAGGTGCTGCACCCCGTGGGCTGGAGGGTTGTCTCTCTGCCCCCAGCCCCTTCCCCGGCTCCTTGGTCTCTGAGTCCTGGGATGCCCCCTTGGCTAGGAGCCGGGCGTGGCATGAACTGGGTGACATGTATGAGCAAGTGGAGGACAGGCACCCAGTGGCCACTCTGAGCTGTCATTTATTCAGCTGGAGGAGGCCTTTCTTTTTCCTTTTTTCTTTTTTGATTAATCTTCACCTGAGGATAGATTTTTGGCGAGAGCGAGAGGGAGGGAGGGAGAGAGAAACATGGATGGGCTGCCACTTGCATGTGTCCCAACTGGGCCCAGAGATTGAACCTGCAACAAGGCATGAGCCTTGAGCAGGAATCAAACCCGAGACCCTTTGGTGTGCAGGCTGGTGCTCTACCCACAGAGCCACACGGGCCAGGGCTCAGTGACGTGGTTTTGTTTTGTTTTTTTATTGATTTCAGAGAGGAGGGGAGAGGGAGAGAGAGATAGAAACATCCATGATGAGAGAGAATCACTGATCCGCTGCCTCCTGCACACCCCCGCTACTGGGGACCGAGCCCACAACCCGGGCATGTGCCCTTGAACAGAATCGAACCCGGGACCCTTCAGGCCACAGACTGACGCTCCATCCTCTGAGCCAAACCGGCCAGGGCCAGGGACCATTTTTAAGTGCCTCCTAAGATGTTCTTCTAGCCAAAGGCTGTGTGACTTAATACATCCTTCGATACCTGAAACTCCAATGAGAAAGAATGTGCGCAGCCCTATGTTCAGAGCAAGTGCCCTCAGCAGACGCGTGGGTAAAGCCGGGCACGTTACGCCTGGAGAACATGCAGCCGTCAGAAAGGAGGGTCTCTGACCCTTCGCGACAGATGGAGGGACCTGGAGCGGATTCTGCTGAGCCCAAGAAGCCAGTCAGAGAAAGACAAGTATCACGTGATCTCACTCATGTGGAATCTAACGAACAAAATAAACTGATGAACAACGTAGATCCAGAGCCATGGGAGCAGGGACCAGACTGTGGCCTCTCAGAGGGAGGGGGGTGGGGGGGTGGATGGGAGGTTGAGAGGGAAGAGACCAACCTAAGGCCTGTATCAGTGAATCATGCTTTCCCATCAGAAGTGAGGTGCATTGAATTCGCCCCTCCAGCCCCCAGAGCAGTGGTTCTCAACCTTCTGGCCCTTTAAATACAGTTCCTCATGTTGTGTCCCAACCATACAATTATTTTCGTTGCTACTTCATAACTGTAATGTTGCTGCTGTTATGAATCCTGACGGAAATATCTGATATGCAGGATGGTCTTAGGCGACCCCTGTGAAAGGGTCGTTCGACCGCCAAAGGGGTCGCGACCCACAGGTTGAGAACCGCTGCCCCAGAGGAAGCCCTATTCTGACCTTTCTTATATACAGCCCATGTCTCTTTACTGTTTAATCTATAATAAACACTTTAAAAACAAAAAGGACATCGAATGTGACAATTTAACAAAAAGGAAGGGAAATGTACAGGAAAATGTTCACCGGACGATCCCCTGAGGCGTTAACAGGGAAACTGACTCCGCGGCCCGTTCTCTCTCGTTTTCACCTGAGTGACTTGTGACTCATCGTACAGGTTCCTGCATGAAAGGGTTTTCAGGTGGAGAAGCGAATTGTTCAGATGGGAGACGGTGCAGCCTGCGGTTCCACTGTAGCTGGTTCCACTGTAGCTGGTTCCACTGTAGCTGGGTCTGCTGTGCCCTGGGTGGGGTGCTCTGAGCTCTGCCCTCTGGTTGGGGAGAAGGGCCGACCGTTCGCTCCTAAGGGTCCCTGGTTGAGGGACGATGGGGTTGAGGAGGTGGCTGCAGCCGCTTGGCATCTAGTCTTTGTAGCTGCAAACGCTGGTTCCCTGTCTGCCATGTTCCCTGTCCCCTGGACCGGCTCTGCCCGTGTCTCCCGCCCTCGGAGCGGCCTCTCCTCGCCTGCAGCCTGGCGCTCTGCCCAACACCCAGCGTGTCCTGGGGACACCCCTCCGGGGCGCTCTGGGGGGGGGCTTTGGCTGGATGGCGTCCCCTCCCCCTGAGCAGCACTGCCCCCGCCCACGGACACCCTCTGGCCCCGCAGCCACAGCCCCTGGGACCCCCGGAAGGACCTGGCCCAGTGTGAGCAGGACGGGGCTCTGCGCGCCCCGCAGCGGGAGAGCCGGCCCCCCCCCCCAGGCCCGCCGCGGGGCAGCCCAGGGCGCAGGCGCCAGGTCAGCACCCAGGGCCCTGCTCGGGCGCCCTCAGCAGCGAGGGGGGCCGTCAGGCTGCTCCACCCGCCTGGCCTCCTCTCTGCCCCCCGCCTGTCGCCCTCTCACCCCCCAGCAGGGCCCCCTGTGGGCCGCGCCATGTCCCTGCCCGCCCTCCCCAGGGGACCCGAGGCTCCGGGGCTGGTAGGACACTCGGTGCCCACGGGCCCCAGGGCGCCCTCAGGGGTGAGCGCCCGGTCCCTTCCCGGGGAGGACACTGAGCTCGGGGACCGGCCGGGGCGGGAGGGGCAGCAGGTGCCGATGCGGGGCCTGGAGGGCGGCGGGAGGCGGGAGGGCGGGAGGCCGGGCTTTCTGAGCGGCGTCTGCGGGGCCTCCGCGGTGCCAAATGGGTCCTGGACAGCGGAGCGCTGCAGGCTCCCCCGGCTGAACGGGGGCCCAGCGGGAAGATTCCGGGGCGGGCTCCTAGCCCAGGGTGCCGGTGAGAGCTCCACCCAGCCAATCCTATGCCTCTCACTCCGCCAGCAGCCAATAGTTGGGCAGGAAGGGCGGGACCTTTCGGTGCTATAAAAGGCGGAACCCGCCCTCCTGACCGCAGAGGGGCAGCATGACGCCCTGGTCTTCTGTTCCGTGTCCTTTGCTGCTGCTCCTCCTCCTCCGGACGCAGGTGGGTGCGAGGCGGGGCTCGGGGGAGGGAAGGCCCCCCCCCAGCCGGCAGGGGCCCGAGGCGGGGCGGGACCGAGTCTGACTTTGGGAGTCGCGCGCCCCTAGGGCGCTGCCCAGGCCCCGCGCAGCTCGCGGGGGACGCGCCCCCCCCCCCCCCCCCCCAGGCCGGGCGCACCGGGCAGCCCTCCGTCAGCGTGAGTGCGCGGGGCTGTGCGCAGATCCCGGGCCTCCCCTGCCCCAGGCTCCGCGGTGACTGATGGGACCCCAGGGGCGGGGAGGGCACGGCCAGACCCGCCTTCCCCTCACCAGGGCCGCACAGCTCACTGCGGTCCGGTCCCTGGGCGGTGGGGCGAGAGGCGATTGTAGTTCCCTTTTAGCTGGAGGCGGGTGTACAGCTTATGGAGGTGTATGTAGTTGGCACACAACCAGCGCCCCAGGTTTAAAGTGTGCAGTTTGCTGTTTTGACATGTGTTCACGGTGTGGGAAACCATCCCCGCAGGAGAGTGGGTGCAGCCCTCACCCCCAAAAGTGCCCTCCGAGGTTGCTCACCAAAGCGTGAGAGCAGGGTCCGGAGTCTTTTAAAATCGATAGAAACCACAAACTTCTTCCTGTTTGTCTGTCGGGCACTGAGCCCTCAGCTGGGAACAGTTGCATGAAACCTGCACCTTGGCTGACAGTGGGCCCCGGGGCCTGTGCCTGGTGTGAGGGGCTCGGTCCTGGGGTTTAGAACATCGTTGCCTTTCGTCGTGTCTGCTTTGGAGGGAGGCGAATTCAATATTCCATTTGCGCACACACATCTGGCCTCGCACAACTTACAGTGAGACGACCGCGCTGAAATGGACATTTTTTAAAGCACTCGAAAGGGAACGGGCTGCGGCTGTTTTTGGTACTGGTAAGGTTTCAGAGGGAGCTGACCTGAAACTTTAATGCCTATTTTTTTGTTATTAAGCCTCACCCAAGGATATTTTCCATTGATTTTTAGGGAGAGTGGGAGAGAGAGGGAAAGACAGAGAGAAACATGGATACGAGAGAAACACGTCGATTGGAGGCATCCTGCGTGCCCGTGACCAGAATCGAACCCAGGACTCTTTTGATCCGCAGGCTCATGCTCTATCCACTGAGCCAAACCGGCCAGGGCTTTAAGGCCATTTTAAAAGACCAAACCCTCCCACAGAGAAGACGCAGTAACACAGGGTTTCCAAAAGCTGGTCGCTCCCCAGTCCAGCTGCTCAGCTCCCAGCGCACCCCGGAGAGGAAGCAGTCCTTCCAGAGGCGCTGCCCTGCCTCAGGCCACCCAGAGACGCATCGTCCAGATTGTACGGACCGTAGCCTTTCTCCTGCCAGGTGCCAGGAGCCAGCCCCGCGAGCAGGGGGGACGGGGTTCTGAGCGGGATCAGAGCTCCCTGTGACTCAGGCAGGGAAGGCGTGGGAAAGAGGATGTGAGATTCCCGAAGCAAATAGTCGGCCTCCTGGTGAGCAGAGGTCGGCATGAAAAGGCCCACGCCAGGCACTGGGATGCAATGGGCTTCCTTTTCTTCTAATAAGTTTTTATTGATCTCCGAGAGGGAGAGAGAAACATCAATGATGAGAGAGAATCACGGATCGGCTGCCTCCTGCATGCACCACTGGGGATGGAGCCCACAACCCGGGCCTGTGCTGTGACCGGGAATCGAGCCGTGACCTCCAGGTTCCTAGTTGGACGCTCAGCCACTGAGCGATGCTGGCCGGGCCGGAGGCCTCTCTGGCTAAGCCCGTCTCCCTGGCTGATTGCAGGCGGCCCTGGCAGCCAGCTCGGAACTGGGTGACCCCAACCAGAATGCAGCCCGGAGCCCCTCCAGCGACCTCTGTGAGGCTGGTGAGTGAGCGTCCCCATCTTCCCGAGCCTTCGCCTTCAGCTCACCTGACCCTGAGGGCTCAGCCCTGGTGCAGAGCTGCAGGCGCACAGGGCCCTGGGGGTTGGGGGGAGCCTGGTGGGCGGGCCTCTCCCAGCAGGTACCCTGGCACCCACCGCTCACCCGCCCTCCCCCCTCCTGGGCTCTCTCCTGACAGAGGGACTCTGTGCTTACTCAGACAGAAGCGGGGGGCGTGCCCAGGCTCGCTGCTCCCCAGGAACCCCCTGTCCTGAGCCCGTCCCCTCAGGGCTGTGATGGGGACACCCAGGCTCCTTCACTCTCAGGAGGAGGCTCTGAACCAGCCCCCAGAGCAGCCGGGAGCCCCAGCTTCCAGGCCTTGCTCTGCCCGCCCTCCAACCGCCCCCTCCTGGCCAGTCCCCACCAGAACCCTGGCCCCTGTGGAGCCTGGTCACCCTGCAGCCCCCACACCTGGCCTCCCCTCCCCCCACAGACAGGGGCGCACACATCAGTGAACCTGCCTTCAGGGGTCCCCTCTTTGTAGGGGCCGACCACACCTGCTCCCATCACCCTCCACCTCCACTCACCCCACCCCAACCCCACACGCCTCCTGTCAGCCAGGAGCTTCCTGGGGCTCCAGCTCAGGGACTGAACCCCCAGCTCCAGCCCCGGACCACGCACCTGCCCTCCCCCGACACACACGCCATGCACACCCGGCACCGTCCCGCGTCCACACATCTGTGCGCGCACCCACAGGAATGACGGAGACACAGCTGCCCACACGGAGCCTGAGGGGCTGGGCGCCTGCAGGGACATGTGGCTCTGCCCCAGGACAGCCTTCGCGGGGGGCGCGGGGCCAGGCGGGCTCCTGCGGGTGTGGCCGGGCTTCTTGCTCGCTTTCCCGGCTGCCCTGGCGAGTGGCCCGGGAGCTGCAGAGCGGCCCTGTGTGTCGGCTCCGGGTAGAGGCAGGGTCGGCGGGCTCCAGTGTGCACACCCATCCCCTCTGAGCCGAGCTGCGGGGGATCCGTAAAGGCCGAGGGGGAGGCAGGTCCCCAGTTCCTGGGACACATGGAGCCGAGGCTCAGTCCAGAACTTTCCAAGGAGACAGAGGCGAGGGTTGGTGCTGTGCAGGGGCCTGGCCTCGGGGACCAGGACGGGTGGGTGCCGGGCCCCACCTCACCTGTGTGCCACCCCTGCCCAGGCCACTACGTCAGCGCGGACTGCACCATGGACCCGGCCGTAAGGTGCTGTCCGTGCCCCCCTGGCTCCTTCCTGGCCCACCCCAACAGGGCACAGTCCTGCATGCCGTGCACCCAGTGCCGGGAAGGTAAGTGGGCGCCGTCGGGCGGGGGGTGGGGTCTGTGTCTTGGGACCTGCCTGGGGGAGTCGCCCCAAAGGCAGTGATGACAGGGCCCAGGCGCTGGGCCGCCATCACAGAGCACGGGTGCTCGCCGAGCGCGGGAAGCGAAGCCGCGATGGAGAGTGTGAGGGCGCCGCAACGCACAGCCTCGCTCCCAGGACACACAGGGGCCTGGCCCTCAGCGCTAGGAAGGTTCCACTGAGCTAAAATCATAGCAATAATAGTAACGATGATAATAATAAAATAAGCTGCAGTGGAGAGAGACGCAGGCATGGCAGAGAGGACCAGGCCTCAGGGGTGGACGTGCCTACAAGGAGCCCTGAGGTCCTTGGTGTGCGGGGCTCTGTGCTTGGGCGTCGTCCTGTGGAGCAGGGTCAGGGCACGTGTCTAGGTCGCTGGTACAATCCCCAGTCGAGAGCGTGAGGAGGCAGCAGGTCAGCTGAGGACTGAGGGGTGCAGGCTGCACACCCCTCATGGTGGGCTCAGGCCCTGGCCGCAGTTCGGTTGTGGGAGGGAGGCTCTCATCACTGTCCTACTCTCTCACACATCGATGTTTCTCTCTCTGTCTCTCCCCTTCCCTCCACTCTCTCTAAAAACATCAGTGGGGCCCGGCCGGCTTGGCTCAGTGGTTGAGCATCAACCTGAGAACCAGGAGGTCAGGGTCCCATTCCAGGTCGGGGCAGATGCCCAGGTTTCGAATCCCCAGTAGCGGGTGTGCAGGAGGCAGCCGATCAATGATTGTGTCATCATTGATGTCTCTCTCTCTCCTCTCCCTTCCTCTCTGATATCAATAAGAATATATATATATATTTTTTTAAAAAAACATTTAAAAAATCATTTTCCAAAGGTCTAAATTTGAAGATTTTAAAAAATATATCAATAGGGAAAAATATCCTCGGGTGAAGCTTAAATGAATAAATAAATAAAATCAATCAAAATATAATTAAAGAAAAAGAAATGGTCTCTGAGGAGTGAAGAGGTGGACTGTCTTACATCCGCCAGAGCCGGTGCCGCACGTGGGGGCAGGGCAGTGGGGATCCTGGCCCGACGGGAGACGGGGGGTCAGTGCCAGCCTCGGAAGAAACACTGGGTGTAGCGGGTGATGTTCCCACGGGCCTACCCCACTCCCCCCCGCCCGCCTCCGTCTGGACCGGGGCCCGCTCTCCCCTGTGTGTCAGAGCCCGGCCGGTGTGCGGTGGCATCACCGGGAGCCACCCCATGTCCACTGGCAGAGAAGGCGGGTAAAGCGACATGTGGGGTCGGGGGCGGCAGGCGAGTGGGTGACGGGCTTGGTCTCGGGCTGGGCTGTGGCCTCACCTTAGTCCCATCTCACCTGCAGTTCAGACGCTGGGCTGAGGGGGTTGGAGGGCCCGCCCCCTCGATGGAGCCGTGCACCCCGCGAGGCTTCAGGGCCCGGCCTTGGCGGCCATCGGGTGGGCTGTGGGGGTGACCGCTGAGCTGACCACCAGCAGGTGGGGCCAGGGGCTCTCTGCAGCCCCATTCGCTGTCTGCTGTGTCACTCACAGCTGCCTCCTGCACCTGCACACTGGGGGTGTTGACCTGCCCTTTAGGGGGCAAACACGATGAAAGGGATAATTTGGGGGTATCTCTGGGGACAGAGTTGGCTTTGTCCTCCCAGCCCACATTGCAAGGGCACCTGCTGCCCCTCCACAGGCAGCCCAGGTTTCAGGGCCCCCTCTGGCCCGTCCACAGGCACCCTGATTGCTGGAAATAGAGTCTAGTTGTCACCTCGTCGTCTGTCAGTGTGAAGAGGGAGGGAGATTGTGGATTCGGTGCCTGTGACTCGGCAGCCGGAGGGGCCGGTATGGGTGGGATAGAGTCCCAGCCCTGGTGCCTGACCATCCTCCCCTCCCCCCGAAGACCAGGAGATGGTGAGTGACTGCACCCCGAAACGGAACCGGCAGTGCCAGTGCAAGACCGGGGAGTTCTACTGTGACTCTGAGCACTGCCTGGAGGGCTGCCACCCCTGCACCAGGTACGGCCTCAGGGCGTGGGCAGCCACGCAGCCTGGGTCCCCCTCACCTCCTCCCTGCAGTGTCTGCCTCGGGTTATGCCGCTGCCCCTCGGTTCTCCCATCAGTAACCTGGTAGGACCTGCCACGTGGAGGCACCTGCAGATGAAATCCAACCAGTGTCCTGGCTGTTCCCACCGGGGGCCGCCCTGGGGCCAGGGCTCCGACCACCCAGAGCCGCGACCCGCTCATCCCACCAAAGCCCCCGTGGAGTCGGCACAGAAGCCAAAGCACAGAACCTGCCCGGGTCCCCGAGGGGTGGAGGCGGGGGCTTGGGAGACGGCAGAGGCCTGAGGAGGGCAGGCAGGTGGGAGCCATAGACAGTTCCAGAGGAGGCGGCTCCGGGCAGAGGAAGAGCCGTGAGCCCCGTGCCCTGTCCCAGCTGCAAGGCCGTCCCCGCAGCAGGGCCCTGGTTCTGTCACAGGCGCCAGTCCTGGCGGCTTCACAAACCTCGGGAATAATTCTCTCCCAGGCCCGCAGCCCGGGAGCCCGAAACCCGGGTGTGGGCAGGGCCGGCACCGCGGGCTCCGGGAGGACCCTCCTGCCTCCTGGGCTCTGGGTGGCGGCGCCCCTGGCGCTCCTCCTAGACCTGCTGCTGCGGCCTCTGCTCCTTCCGCCATCGCGCCGCCTCCTGTCTGCGTCTCTGTGCTGCTCCCTGCGAACAGGCTCCCCTCAGGAGGACGCTGGTCACGGGAGGCCCGGCTCCTCCGCAATGGCCTCCCTTTAGCGCCATCACACGCACAGATTTCCTAAGAAGGTTCATCCTGAGGTCCCGGGTGGACTCGATGGGGGGGAACTTCTGGGGAGACATGACAGCGGTGAACCCCCTGGAAAAATAGCTCCCTTTTTAGAAGAAATGGATTTCTATTGAAGTCAGAGAGGAGGGGAGAGGGAGAGAGAGGAACAGCAATGATGAGAGAGAATCATGGATCGGCTGCCTCCTGCACGCCCCCCACCGGGGATGGAGCCCGTACCCGGGCCTGTGCCCTGACCGGGAATCGCACCGGGACCTCCTGGTTCGGGGGTTGATGCTCAGCCACTGAGCCCGCCGGCTGGGCTGCAGGTGTTTCACGCTGTGACCCTGGAGTGTGGGGTCTCAGAACCAGCCTCCCGCACTCAGACAGGAGCTGGGGAACCGGCGATGGTGGAAGGCGAGGGGCCGGTGGCCTAGAGGTCCCTCCGGGTCCCCCCTCAGGTGGGCAGAGAGCTGTGAGCACGTGCGGCCTGCGCAAGCGAGCGTCGGTCCTGGGTCTAAACATGCCTCCCTGTGACCTCGGAACATGTGACAAACAATGACCAGCCCCTAACTTTGCGACCACGAGGAAGGACACCTGAGGGCCGAGGCTCTCACACGCAGGACAGACCCCCGCTCCCCGCTCCCAGGCCTGCACACGAGGCCGAGCAGGTTCCCTGGAGGGGCCGAGCAGGTTCCCTGGAGGGACCTCCGTGGCTCCCCCCGTGGGATGAGGGCCATGACCTCTGAGAGGCTGGTTCTGGGGTGGGCGCTGGGCTGTGCGTGCCCTGGGCCCTCGTGGGCCTCGGCTCGGGCTCACGGTGCTCCCGCGGCGGGTGGGGAGCTCTCCGCGGGAGCCGCCCCGGAGCCCACCTTCTGCCGCTGACAGCGCCCCTGGGCCCGGGTCCTGGGAGACGTGGAGGGAGGAACAGTGTGGCGTCTCCTCCCCAGGTGCCCCGAGGGGAAGGTCGTCCTGCAGACGTGCAACGCCACGGCGGACACCCTGTGCGGCCTGCCCGGCCCAGGTAAGCGGGTCCCTGTCGTCTCTAACGTGTATGTTCTGGAGACGAGAACCACGTTATAGAAAATTCACCATTTTATGGTGAACAAGTTATTTATTATTTTTTAAATATATTTTTAGTGGTTTCAGGGAGGAAAGGAGGGGAAGAGAGAGATAGAAACATCACTGATGAGAGAGAATCATTGATCAACTGCCTTCTGCTCGCCTCCCACCAGGTTTGAGCCTGAAACCAGGAATCGAACCATGACCTCTTGGTTCATAGGGCCACGCTCGACCACTGAGCAACGGCTGAGACACACCCGGCTGGGCTACGGTGAACAGTTCAGGGGCTCTTAGCACCCACCTCTGTGTCTCCCCGAAACATTCACATCCGCCCATTAAACAGCAGCTCTCCCGCCCGCCCCTCCGCCCCCAGCAGGCCTTGATTTGCTTGCGGTGACAGATCTCCCCATTCCGGACACGTCACAGACACGGGGGCGTGGGCCTGTGGCCTGCGTGTCTGGCTCCTTCCCTTCAGGAGCGTGTCCTTCAGACCCTCCCTATTGTGGGACCTGTGAGAGCGCCTGGCGGCTGAGTCACACTCACGGATGTGGACTAGGCCACGCCCTGTCAGTGGTTCATCTGCTGGTGAACTTAGGCCAAAATTCCAAACACATCAGCCCTCGAGGCGAGACCGTTGTGTGGAAAGGACAGTGTTTCAAACGATGCTGTTGGGGAGACTGGAGGAAAATTAACTCGCAACGAACCACAGACCGAACTCAGACCCGAAGCTCTAGAACTCCTAGAGGAAACGGGACCGCCCGGCCGGCGTGGCTCGGGGCGGAGCCTCGACCTATGACCCCGGAGGTCACGGTTCGATTCCAGTCAGGACACAGGCCTGAGCTGTGGGCTCCATCCCCCGTGGGGGCCGTGCAGGAGGCAGCCGATCAGTGACTCTCTCCGGTCATTGATGATTCTGTCTGTCTCTCCCTCTCGCTCTCAGAAATTAATAAAAATGTCCACTTTGTGAAAAAAAGAGGAGAAAGCGGAAGGGAAATGTCATGGCGTCAGATTTGGGTCCCGCCGGTCAGCGGGGACCCGGCCTGACACAGGACGTCCCTTCAGGGTGTACGTCAGAGCACCACGTCCTCACATACTCACGTGGCCCGTGAACCACCTGAGACCCGGCACCTGGGCCCGCGTGGGGGCGGGGTCAGCGCTACCTGCCCTGGGGGTGCCGGCCCCCCAGGAAGGCTGGGCAGGCTGCTCGGTCCGCCCCCCGGCCTCTCCCCAGGGGGCCCGTCTGCTGGGCCAGTGAAAGGAGATGCTATTCGATTGTCCCCCTTTTCTCTGAGTTTGTTTTGTCTTCAGGGTCCACATCACAGGCAGTGAGATCCCGCAGGGTCTGTCTCCCCGTCTGACATCCCTGAGCCCAGTGCCTCCAGGCCATTCACGTTCTTACAAAGGCAGGAAGCCCTTCAGGTTAAGGGTGAATAATGTTCCCATGTGCATGCATATGTGATGTATTGTGCATGCATATATGCGTGCATGCGTGGTGTGTA